CCACTAAGATTGTGGAAATATTTGTACGTGTGTTCCTGAATCATCTCACTTTGGCCAAGACAAGCTAACGGCGGCAGTCATAAAAGAAAAGAATTTCTGCACTGAATTTTTTTANTTTAAATTTTAAATATCAGTTTTTTATATTTTCATGACAATGAATATATAAAATATTGATATACATATGAAGTATGTGTTATGTTTTATATAGTGTTGTATAGTATTTGTTATTTGTAGTTATTTGTAGTTTTGTTATATAGAATTATATACAATTATATTATGTTATAATTTAATTTTCGAGTGTAATTTATAGTATAAGTTTTGCTTATAACTACTTTTATTATTTGTTTTGCAAACTATTTATGATTGACTGTTTTGCGAAGCTTATATAAAGAAGTATTTATGAGGAATGTTTTTTTGTATTTTTAGTTATTAATTTATGAAAATATATAAAAATTAGTAGCATTTAAATCGGAATATGAATTGAAATGTATATTATAATTTTTTCTCTAGTATTCTTTTTATATTTATAATATATTATTGTAGCTTATTGCTGTATTCTACAAAAAATGAGGTTTTTTTTATAATGTGTATGTCTTTTTTTTCTTTTTCTTTTTGATGATAAAATGGATATAATTTCTGTGTTAATTCTAGTAAATCATAGATGGCGTAACAAATATTGTTTTTTCGTCGATATTTGAGAACATAAGACGCGGAATTAATATATAATCTCTATATACATATAATAGACAACAAAGCTACGATAACATATTATAAATATAAAAAGAAAACTAGAAAAATTGTAATATATATTTTAATTCTAATTCCAATTTAAATGCTACTAATTTTTATTTAATTTAACAACTAAAAATATGATTTACTACAAAAGATACATAGTCTCTTAGAATGTCGTTTCTTTTCATAGTTAGTTTTGTTAAGTTAAGATGTCACTAGTAGTATAGATACATCTGCGCCATCTAGTAAAGTTTAAAACTAATGACTAAACATATGAGTTTATCTCCAGTGTTGACCGTTTTTGGATATACGGTTAGAGTATACGGAAAATCGTTGATTTCGATTAATTTTTATACTAAATAATTTAAAATGTCAGAAGTTTCGATGACAGAAACGCCACATTTACAAAAAATAGATTTAACAACTTTAAATCTTCAACAACTTACAATGTTAAAACAGCAATTAGATCAAGAACTCGGTGTTTTTCAAGATTCATTGCAAACATTAAAAATTGCTCAAAGTAAGTTTCAAGAATCAGGTTCATGTCTTGAAAAAATTAGCCCATCTTTGGAAGGTAAGTTTAATTAATTTTGTATTATATAAATTTTAATATAAAAATTATATAAATTCTAATGTTTAATTTTTTAATATTTTCTTAGAGGTTAGAAAATGTGAATCTTTAATTATATTATATTAATAAAATTGTTGAATTTCTTTTAAGGAAACGAAATTCTTGTGCCATTGACTGGCTCGATGTACGTAGTTGGAAAACTAGTAGAAACTGATAATGTTCTAATTGATATTGGAACTGGTTATTATGCTCAAAAAAAAGTTATAGATGCAAAGGATTACTTTGATAGAAGAGTAGCTTATGTTACCGAACAAATGGAAAAAATTCAACAATTGGGCCTTGAGAAAAGTAAAGTTAGAGATGCAACTGTGGATGTAATAGAAATGAAACTTCAAAATCAAGTGCCGAAAGAAGATTAAGAATGAAAACACTAATGTTTCTAAATTAAATGCTCTTATGTAATTTGCTCTTTATTTGTACAAATTTGTATTGGTATTGTCATTAAATTACATTGTTCTGTACATTTTTTGTTAGGTAATAATTATTTTGAGAATTTTAAAGGAAGATTAAATTTAATAATAATAAGATGCTTTAAATTTTATTTTATATTATCCATTTTTTTATATATATACATATATTATTTATTAAATATAACAAATTTTATGCATATACACATTTTTATCAATAATATATAATTTTATATTTAAAGTACAAACTAATATTGCTTAATAATAATATAATCAGGAATATTTAATAAGGAAAAAATGGAATAGAAATAATTTTAAGGAAGAGAAAAACGAAAATAACAGAGGTGAATTATTTATTTGTTTTTCACTTAAGTAAAACTTTATTCACAAACAATAACAACTTTTACCTATAAACGTGAGATGATATATTCTGGCAGCTATATTTTACGGAAGATTTTTTAAATGTATCAAAATCATTGTTAGAGGATAGAAAACATGGTATAATAGTATTGAAATAAATTTTCGAACACTTTGGCGCGACACTTTGTCAATCTAATACATAATATTATGACATGTTATTTAGATTATAAATTTGTCTCGTTCCAATGAGACAGCGCAGGTCGCAATTTCACGTAGATAATTAGCTAATTTTTTTATCCTATTTACACGAATAACATACGGTCGATATTTATATTAACCAAAAAATTTGTCGTTCTTTCCTCGTCTCACTTAAGTTTTAAAATTTTACAAACAATTTGCCCTCTCCATTTCAATACAGTCATATGCATATTGGGTGAATAACAGGTTCATCGTTGTTATCTGAAGTGGCGTAGTAACAGAGCAGTTGAGGCAATAAACCATTTTTCAAATGAAGTTTGTGTGAATTGCGTTGATGCATGCCCTGAAATTAGAAAAACAATATATATAAATTCATATATCATGTAACGATACGTAATAAGAATAATTATAAAGATTTAATTTTGATATAATATTCAATATCATAATTACTGGCGCGAATAAATTTTTTTTTATAATTAATAATGTTTCAGATTATTATAAATCGGATTAGATAGATTTTATATTTTTATTTTTACTTGTTTATGAATTTATATTTATTTATTAACATTTTCAGAGAAATAGAATTATACGATTATATTAACAAAATATGATTCATCAAAAATTTGAAATAAATTACATTTTGATTTTTTAATTTTTTAAAATCATATTTTGACATTTTTTTCA